CGGAACTTTTAGACTTGGCGCCACTAGAGGTAAACGACCAATTTTGGTAAAATTCAACTCAGCTCGATGGGTCAAGGAGGCTTTTTCAAAAATGTTGGAGTTTCGTAAACTGAATCTCAGTATCTCTAATGATAAAAGCAAAGAGGAAAGAGAGGAATATAAAACTCTTCTAAATTATAAAATGGATCTGAAAAGTAATGGAATAGAGGTTCAAATTAAGAGGAATAAAATTGTTTATAATAATAAAATTCTATCCGTAAATGATATCAACTCTTTGATCGATAAGGAGAGGGTTAATATAACGACCCAAATAATCAACCCTGCTTCTCCCCCCACTTCATCTGATTCTCAAACAACTCCTGCACGAGATCTTAAGCGCAAACGTAAAGGAGGTCTGAAAAAGGATGCAGATATAAGGAATCACGGTGACACTCGTCTGGACGATTTTCTTATCAAGTACGGAACCCCCAGAAAATCTGCTCGTATCGCGGTGCCTATGGATGCCACACCTTCTCAATCGAAGGAAGTGGAAAAGGTTCCCCACTCTGAAGAAGTTCGAAGCCTACAATAGCAACCACACACTTATTTAGGAGTGGGATATGCTGACTTGTCGACTGGAAGGGTTTGCTTTTGGAACTCACACGGATTTTCCAATGTGTCTGATTTGGAGAAAATTGTGAATGATAGTGATGTACTGTGTATATGTGAAACGTGGCTAATGTCAACTAACATTGTTCTGCCTGGTTTTTTGCACAATTTCAACTACATATGCAGTCCGGCTTCAAGGATTGCTTCTCACGGTAGAGCGAGTGGTGGTCTCTTGATTTGTTACAATAATAACCAATGCAGAGTGGAATCTATTTTTTCAACTAGTAATTATATGTTTGTTAAAATGTTTATTAAGAATTCTTTTTTTATTGTATGTTTGGTATATATTCCTCCCCATATGAAGATAGATAAATTTTTATTGGAGTTTAATGATCATTTAATGTTAATATTGCAAGATTTTCCAAATGTACCATTGGTAGTGAGCGGGGACTTTAATTGCAGAATGTACAATTTAAATCAATTAGATCCCCATATAGTTGATAACAGCTTATTGTTTGCTACACGGAAATCTTTGGACACTGAAGCCGACAAGAGGGGAAAATTGCTCGCGGATTTCATGGAGCTCAATGAATTTATATTGTTAAATGGTCGCACACCTGGAGACCTAATGGGAACATATACTTATGAGGGTCCTTTTGGCTCCAGTATTTTAAATTTACTCTGGTGCTCTTACTGTGGACTGTCTATGTTGAAAAGCCTCAAAATATATCACATAATTACTCTCTCAGACCATTATCCGGTTTTTATCTCATTTAACATATATTCTTATTGCTATGATGTGAATAAAGTTAAAACTAACAATCATAATTATAAATTTATTTTTGACTTATCTAAATCTAGTTATTTTTATTCTCAGATGTCTAATAGAATTGAATCCCAAATAGTATTTGAGGATGTAAATCAATTAAGTTCGGTAATAACAGACACAATAATAAAAGTGGCTAGTGGTTTGGGAATGAGGCATCGTTGTGGGAGTAATAGAATGAGCAAGAAGGCATGGTTTGACAAGGAATGTATTGATGCCAAAAGACTTGTGGAGTCTGCCTTAGTGGTGCATAAACAATGCAGTTTTTCAAATTCCACGCGTTTATTTTATATTGAAATGAAGAAAAGTTACAGAAACATTTTGAAATTAAAAAAGAGAGCATTTGAATTAACTATTATTGAAACTATTGCAAACACTCGTAATTCTAGAGATTTTTGGAGTATGATTAATAAATTTCGTTCTAAGGCGTGTTATTCCAATGTCATTGATGTGGCCACTTGGCATCAGTATCTTCTTGATATGTATAATGTTACTTTTGATGATCATTTTGATGTTTGTAGTGTGTATGACTCAGATCTTGATGGTGAAATTGTTCTAAGCGAGATTAGTCATAGTATAAATAAATGTAAGGATGGAAAGGCTTCAGGCATGGACAAAATAAATTATAATTTTTATAAGAGACTACCAGATAACTGGATTATTTATCTACAAACGCTTTATAATAAAGTAATGGTAACTGAAAGAATGCCTAAATCTTGGGGATCCTTATCGATGAGCATGCTTTTTAAAAAGGGTGACCGTGATGACCCATCTAATTATAGGCCCATAACTTTAGTCAACTGTATTGTTAAGATTTTCACACAAATATTGTATAACAGATTGTCTAAATGGGTTGTAGATCATGATGTGCTTCCAGAATCTCAATCTGGATTTAGACCGTCACGAAGTTGCGCCGATAATCTGTTTACACTAATCTCTCTTATTCAAATTCATCTTAACAATCAGAACGGCAGAGTTTATGTTGCGTTTGTTGACTTTAAGGGCGCTTTTAATACGGTGATTCACGATTTTCTTTGGCGAAAGCTCTTTGAGGTGGGGATAAGTTCTAAAATTATAAATATTTTACGTAATTTTTATGAATCTGCTACAGCCTCAGTTAAGGTTGTAAATAGTGCAACTGACTCAGTTAGAGTTACTCGAGGTGTTTTACAGGGGGAGGTTTTGAGCTCCTTACTATTTATTATCTTTATAAGTGATTTTGGTCCATTTCTTAAAGAGCAGGGATGCCGAGGCCTCTCCATCGACAACAAAACGGAGGTCCTTTCCTTGGAATATGCAGATGATTTTGCGTTACTGGCGAGTACTCCTTTGGAACTCAATAAAAAGCTTAAGTCTCTTAAATTATACTGCGAGCAGAAAGGGCTTACTATAAATGTAGAAAAAACTAAAATCGTCATTTTCAAGAGAAATAAAAAAATGAAACCTTTTTTTAAATATTTTAAATTTGGAGATGAAAAAATTGAAGTAGTCAATGAATTTCTGTATCTCGGGTTACCTTTGTCTAACACATTGTCCTTTAGCGAAACATCTAAATATTTCATAAGCTCAGCGAATACGGCAGTTGGTACAATACTTAGAATAATTCATACTAGTAAAATAGATTCTTGGAAAGCGTACTTGAGATTGTTTGAAAGCCTTTGTCTGAGTGTACTTTTTTATCAGGTGCAGCAGTGGGGTGTCACCCAGCTTGATTCGATTGAGGGAGTGCAATTGAGCTTCTTTAAGAGTCTACTTAATTTGCCTAATAATACCCCTAGCTACGCCGTTAGAAGGGAAGTTGGAAGTTTGCCTCTTGCTAATCGGGTTTTTCGTTTGGTCCTCTCTTGGTTGAATAAGCTATCGAATATGAATAACTCTCGATACCCTAAGCTCTGCCTAACCAGGCTAAAAAATCTTGCTAATTCAAATCCAACCAATCTTAAACTCAATTGGTATCTGCAAATCAAGCATTTTTTTGTTGATATTGATGAGGTGAATAGTTGGCGCACTGTTTCATTCGAGTCGGGTGGTGAACATTTAAACAAGAAATATAAAGAATTTTTGTCTCAACGCGATTTTCATAGCTGTGGCAAATCTAAAAGTCTTTTAATTTACCCCAATTTAATACTTACTGACAATACTAATTGTAAGAACTTTCTATATCAACGTAGCCCTCTCTTTTTTAAACGTGTATTTTCTCAAATTAGACTTTTGAATAGACATGTGACACATATTTATATAAGAAAGAAAAAGTTCAAACTATCAAATAGTCCCGCTACATGTTACACTTGTGGAATTGTTGGGGATGAGTTTTATCACATTTTGGCTGAATGCCCATTATATAATTGGTATCGGATAAAGTATTTTACAATCCCTTCAAATGTAGACCTCGTAACATTTTGGATCTCCGTTTTATCATCGAATGACACAACTATATTGTTAAAAAATTGATTTTTATGATCGATGAAATTTTGAATTTTAAGGAATATTATTGTTATCAGCCGTCTGGAGTTTAATTGTGTGTATGTTTTATTTTATTTTTATTTTTTGAATTTTGTTTGATAACATCTTTTATTGTTTGCGTTATAATTGAAACTCTACTTGTATAGACTACAAACAGTCTCTTATCAAGTGTATCCTCGTTTAAATTGAATAAACGACATATATATATTAATTATACTTAAAAAACCTAAAAAACCTCTCCGAGTAACATGTTTCAAGTACATCTAATCAATTTTTAAAAAAAGCGCCTTACACATTATATCATTCATTAAAAATTTTGAAAAACTAATTACAGATTCGTAATCAGCGACCCCAAAAACCCTCGAGTAACTATTTTTAGCCAAATTGAATCGATTTAAAAAAAGCATCCCCCATATTGGATCCGTTATTTTGAATATTGAAAAACCAACATCGGATTCGTAATCAGCGACCCCAAAAACCCCCAAGTAACGATTTTTAGCCAAATTGAATCGATTTAAAAAAAGCATCCGCCATATTGGGTCCGCCATTTTGAATTTTGAAAAACCAACATTGGATTCGTAATCAGCGACCCCAAAAACCCTTAAGTATACAATTTCATCAAAATCTATCAAAGCGTTTGTCCACATTAACAATTTGTTGTAAACTTAATTATTTGTTAATATAAATTGTTTATAACATTCGAATATGTATACCTGCACAAATTTTTTACAATTTAAAGATTACTCTAGGTGTGTTTCTAAAAAGTTTTTAGCACGTGCCATTCGATTATAGAGGCTGGAGATAGCTTTTTCTTAAAAATAGATGCTTTTGTTAAACTTTGCAATAAAAAAATAAATATAAACAAATTGAAATTTAAAATTCGACAAATCTCTTCCAAATTTAATAATCTTTCATTTAAAACAAATTTCAGTAAAATCGGTTAAAAAATGAAGGCTCTAGACTATTATGAACAGTAAATTGCAGTTTGGTCCCAAGGCCTTGGAGGGTACGGGCCCTGAAGCACGCGCTTCATGGTTGTTCCAGCTCTGCTATTGGTAGAGTTGATTGTATATATAAATAAAAACAAAAACCATTTAACAGATAATATAATTCTGTGTTACAGGATTTAAGGAAGTTGATAGGTGAAAATTCTCTTCTTTGTCGTTTTCTTTACAATTCAGATCATCAAAGTAATGAATTGACTTTTTATGCATTGTGTTGCTTAGAAGCATTATTAATTAATACAGAAAGAAAACAGATCACAGCATCAACCGACTTCTTATCCAATGTCAAAGAAATTGTAATGAAAATTTTATCATCATTACCTACCGAAAATAATGAGAGACATTTTAATAGAGTAAGTACCAAATCTCATTTAACTTTTTAATATTAAATATGCTAAAAAGGATTTTTAAAATCTTAAAAAAATCGAACACAATAAATTTAGCTCAATTGTAAGGTATAGCAATTATAAAGTAGGACATTTAAAAACAAAAGTTGTTCATTTCATGAATATGTCGCTTCCTTCCTCTGATAAGCAAATAAATTTGCTTCCTCATAGAGCGATTATATTAGGGTGGCTCTTATTTACCAAGTTGAAGTAACTTTTGGGCCCCCCTCTACATCAAATCTTTGGCGAAAATTATGAAAAAATTTGCTAAAGAAATAACTAACACCAAGGTTTACTATCACTTACTAATAGTGCTTACTATTGCCAATTAATAAAATTTTATTACCAAAGAAACAAATAAAATACAGCGATCTCGTGCGCATCGTTTAAACTGCGTTTAGTAGCATTTGAAGTCTAACACTTATGTATGATATAAAGACATTTTTATTTCGAATTTTGGATTAACAATATAGGATCATATTCTGCAGATGGTAAACTAATTTTTAAAGCAAAAAAAAAATTGTAAAAAAATTTCATTTAACAAGAGTTTATCGCCTTAATATAGAGAATTAGAAATTAATAGATTTAGCGAAATTTTAAAAATTAAAGTGCAAAAATCGAACACACTCGTTGTTTATTTACTTCAAGAACTACAGCCTACTCTAATATATTGTTTTTAATATATGAAAAATAAAAGTCGTCTTAATGAAATTGCCGTACAATCAAAACAAGCCTTTTGCAGGACATAAAGTCTAGAATAATTTGAATTTAAAAGTCAACGTTCTGGTTTAATCGGAAGTTTTTATTTAGAAGATCTTCAAAATATTTCAATAGGTGATCCTGATCCTGACGTAGATGCTTCTAAACGGTATGATTAAAGATAACAATAACAAAGACTTTACAAAATTACAATCGTACAATTTAGAATTTTAACGACAAATCTTTATTATTTTTTGATAGATTTTAAATAGATAAATCGTTCCTCCACTTTGATGTAAATACATGATACCAAAATACCTCCTACTTACATGGCTTAAATTAATGATCTGGCGGTGAGACATGTCCAGAAGACTGAAAAGTATATTAACGCAATTACAAATGATAAATTCCCAGTCAGAAATGTCAGAGTTCAGCCGATGCTTACGACCGGCATGGAACCGGCCCGGTGGAAAAGACGGACTTATACCGGCACCGGCGTTGTAGTACCGGGCTGGTTGATGAAAAACAACAGGCCCGACGACGGCCCGGTAGTAATTACGGATACAAACCGGTGCTGGTAAATTATATTAATAATACCAGGCTGGTAATTATATTAATACCGGCCCGGTGCCGTCTCAGCACATAAATTTACTTAATAATTTCCACCGGCACAGGACTTTGCCTGCAAAATATTAGTACCGGCCCGGTGCTGGCCCAGAACCAAAATTTACTTAAGATTTTTCACCGGCTCAGGAGTTCTGCCGGCTATTATATTAGTACTGGCTTGGTACCATACCGGTTATGTTTGCCGGTGTTTAACCGGCAGCAAAAAAAATTAAAAAAAGAAGAAAAATTTATAAATTAATTTAATACATAAATGAATTAATGAATGAATTAATATGATAATTAATTAATATAATAATTAATTAATTAATATGATAATTAATTAATATAATAATTAATTAATTAATATAATAAATTAATTAATTATTTAGTTATGCCGGAAATTATATTAATATCGGCTAGGTTGTTTATTGGTGCTGGCCTGGTACCGCACTGGTTGTATATTAGTGCCGGACCGGTACTGCTGCCGGCTGGAATGTGGTTGGACTTTATAAGCTCACTTTGCAATTATTTTTCATATGCAGGTTCAGGTTAGTGGATGTGGCGTCGACTTTGCAGCCTCAGGGTCTGGAGTTCAATTCCTCGAGTCTTTAGATTTTCTATTAATTATTTATGTTTCTCTGTTTCAGCATTTAATGTACATATCTATTGGTTCCAATTAAAAATTAATAATAAAATTGATAATAATAATAATAATTAAACAATTAATCAGACTGAAATGAAATTTTTTTAACCGTCCGGTACCACACCGGGATTTTTTAGTGCCGGCCCGTTACGGTTGACGGATACCTATACCGAAGTTATCATCCGGCAATTTGTCTGTAAGAAAAGAAGATTAAGTGAATAATAAAAGCAGTTCTTTTTTTAGTCAAAATTGTTATCTTTCAATGTATTTAAAAACCTATTAGAATATATTTTTTATTCATTTATTTAAAGTCGCTATGGAACAGCCAGGGTCATAAGCGACCTCTATGTTATTACATTAGAAAAATATTGATAAAGAAAACAATATTACATTAGAAAAATAGTAATAAAGAAAAAAAATATAGTTGTTAAACAATAATGTTGTTGGTTAAATTAATGTTTTTGAAAAATTTGAGCACTTGATTTAAATCTTTGGAAGTATTAAGGGATTGTTTGTAATTATTTGTGATGGACACTGCTTCTCCTTCCACTTGATACTCCTGGCAATCAAGAAGATGTTTGACTGTCATTACATCGTCGCATTTGGGGCATTTGTTTAAAGCAGATTTGGTGATTAGATGAATGTGACTGAAGTTAGTGTGACCGATTCTAAGTCTGGTTATATGGCATTCTTCTGTTCTGGATTAGAATATTTTAAAGATTTCTCAAATAAAACTCTTGATTAAACCCGAACGTTGGCTTTTTAATTCAAATTATTCTGGACTTTATGTCCTGCAAAAGGCTTGTAGTGATAGCACGGCGATTTTGTTAAGACAACTTTTATTTTTCACTTATTAAAAACAATATATTAGAGTAGGCTGTAGTGCTTGAGGTAAATAAATAAAGAGTGTGTTTTTGCAATTTAACTAGTAAAATTTCGCTAAATCTATTAATCTCTATAGGGTAAAGTGTGGATAGATGCCCCCAATTCGAAAATTACATCTAAATTCAATAAATATTAATATGTTTAATTGACTATTTGATTTTTCTACACTATTACTATTTATCATTAACATATGTAAGGACCAAATATCTACAATAAATAATAAATTAATCAGAACGAAAATACGAAAGATCTGCATTTGGCCATATATCACACTTGGGTGGGTTAGGCGCCCCCTGCGGTAAGTTATTATCATTTATTACAATAAGTATTATAAAAAATGTAAAACGCCAATCTTATATGTTTCTCTAATTAATCTGATACAAGAAAATAATTGCAAATATTTTTTTACGTGTTAAACATCCTTGATTCTTGTAATAAGGAATTTTGTCCAGCGGTTTGAACATTTTCAGCAATTTTAAATTTTCACATTATTATAACTAATAACCCCGGGGTTCCAGTGGGCTGGAATTTTATAGCAAAATTGTTATGGCCAATAGGTATAAAAAGAACCAATAATACATAAATATAGTTTCTTTCATATTGGAGATCTGAAAAAGGGGGCATCTATCCGCGCTTTACCCTATTAAAAGCTTTAGAACTTATGCAATTATAAACAAAAAATATAAGAATAGGGGAAAGGTGTACGAGATGATCCCCCTAAGGGAAAAAACCTATTATTCAAAGAAAAATCAACATATTCGACTTTTTTTGTACGCACTACTAGATAATTAATCTATCTAACTATTCTGATTTGAAATATTTGCAGCTAATTAATATTTTACTGTTAAATCTAATTTTTCTAAAACCTTACAAAAGGATCATCTTGGACACCGAGGTGTCCAAGATGATCCCCATGGTATGGGCAAGATGATCCGTAGGGTTATCTTACCCCAATTATTGGAAAAGGAGTCTAAATTGAAGGAATAACAGTGTATCAATGTTAAATAATTATACTTTATTTAGGCCATAAACGCTTTTGACCACTCACCACGATTCGTTTTCCTATTTTATAATTACGAGGCATTGTCTACAACGAGAAAATTAACAAAATATATGTAGATGTCAACTTTTTGTTTTAGATAAGTTAGTTTTCATGATAAAAACATATAAGAAGCGAGAAAAATTGAATTTTTTATTAATACTAGAAAATTCACTTTGAGGTGAGACGAAATACATGGGAATCAGGGGGGATCATCTTGTACACCCATTGAGGGATCATCTTGCCCCAAATGCTACTATATTGTAATTTGTTCGTAACTTAATCTACGAGCTCTGTTATTCCATAATACCAATCAGAACACTTACTATCGGTTCAAAAAGTATAGTCAGTTGACTTTGAAGGCTTATAACTTCAGTAAAAAAAATCGCACAATATTGAAACTTGATGAAATCAGTAAGTAATTTATTTCTACGTTAATGTAGAAAATTAGAAACTAAAAAAAAAATTTTTCTTAAAGTTATTAATTTTTGAAGGGAAAAAGAACATGTTTTTTGACACTATTTTCAATAAGGCCTACTTTGGTAACATGTAACTCGTTTAATAAGAGTCCTATGAAGTTCCTGATTTTTTTCTATGTTCGTTAAATCTTTCTGAATAATGTTATTTAAACAAATAACCGTTATTATAATAACTTTTTGAGATTATTAAACGAAACCGTAGTTTTGTTATCTTTGTTGGAAATTAAGGTACGAAGATGAGACAAAGCACACATTACGGAAAATACGACACTGCTTACGATTCACCAAAGAAAGTTTGTGAAAAAAATTATTTTAAGTAATTATTTGCAAAAGTATTTACAGTTTTTTGCTTTATTGCACCATTAACAGTCAGGTGCATACTACTGTAAGTCTTTTTGTCCGAGACTTCAAGTTTAACACTACTACCTTTTTTTGGTTATTTTTTTCTGTGGTTGAAACTGATTTATAACTTTAAAGATCTGGTTTCTAAGAATGTACAGAGGTGTAAACACCCAAAATATTTTTCCTGACTTAAAAAATTCAAAATTGTATGTAGGTTTGGGTAGAAGTGACCTGAAGTCCTCACTTACCTGCTCTTCTACAATAATACAGTTTCTCGCATTTAAAATATCGACGCCTATGGGAAATGGTTTATGATGGTGTGCACCTTACCGCTAATGGTGCAATAAAGCAAAAAACTGAAAATAGTTTTGCAAATAACTTCTTGAAATAATTTTTTTTCCAAACTTTCGTTGATGAATCGTAATAAGTGTCGTATTTTCCGTAACGTGTGCTTTGTCTCATCTTCGTACCTTAATTTCCAACAAAGATAACATGACTACTATTTCGTTTAAAAATCTCAAATAGTTATTATAATAATTGTTAATAGTTTAGATATTATTGTTCAGAAAGGTTCAAGAAGTCTAAAAATAATTTATGAACCCGATATGATTCTTATTGAACGTTCTACAAGGTCTAAAAGTAGACCCTGTGAAAATGATGCGAAAAAACATGTACTTTTTTTTTTTTTTTTTTTTTTTTTTTACTTTTTTTTTATTTTCTGTTTCAAAAATTAATAACTCCTGAAATAATTTTTTAAAATTTAGTTTTAGTTATCTAAGCCCAAAGTTAAGCTTTCCTTAGATCAAAAGTATGAAATTTTTATTTTTTCCAATAGAATTTTTTTAATGTCGTGGATTCCACGTCAGTTCAACACACTAATTTTCATGACTTGTTGAGATTTGGCTGTACTTTTGTAAATTTATTACTTTTATAGTGATAAACAACTCCACCAAATATTTTTTCAAAATTTTGAAAATTACCAAAAATATGGCATTTTAAAAATTTTTTCCTTTTTTTTTTGAAAGTGCTATAACTTTGGTTTTAATAAACCGATTTTGGATTTAAAAAAAAAGATTTCTTTGGTTTTAAGTATATTTTAAGTTAAAATTAATATAAAAAAAAATTCAAAAAAATTTTTTTTTTAATTTTTAAAAATTAAAGTCCGTTTTTGAAAAAAATCACCTTTGATTTTTTTCAAAATTTTACTAAATGTTAGGCCAAATGTGCTTTACATGTCCTTAAGTTTCATCTTGGGATCTCAAAGGGATTCGGAGTAAAAAAATAAAACGTAAACCACATATTACGAACATATGGGGCAAAATTCCTTAGCTGCCCAGGTCAAAAAATGAATTTTCTCTAAACTTTGCTAAAATGTTACTATTATTAGTAGAAGTGTAAATATTAATTTTTTTTAATTACATAAAATACTTTTTGAGTTATGGAGTTTCAAAATTTTGATTTTTTTGAAAATATCATTTTTCGATTTAATATATTGATAAGTAAAATTAATCAAATTTAAAGTATGAATAGTGATTTTTGAAGGGCTTTTTACGAGCTATAAGCTGGTGATGAAAAAAATGGTTTTCTTTCAATTTGACCTTGAAATAGTAGAACCCGGTTAATACGATCCCGTTTAATACGATTTCCCGCTTAAGACGCTCATTTATGAAGGTCCCTGCAATTAAAGACATACATTTTATATCCCGCCTAATACGTTTTCCCGCATAAGATGCATTCTTAGTGCGGTCCCTACAGAATCGTATTAACCGGGTTCTACTGTATCTCAAAATCGGTGTTTTTTATTTTTTTCTAACCTATCCCAATCGAAAACTTACCTTTTTTCCTATGAGCCATGTAAAAATCAGAGTGGGACTATGGAACTTTTTGAAGAAATTAATTATAAATCATCATTTTTTATGTAAAATAATGATAAATTATTATTTTCCTCAAAAATTCTCATGGTCCCACTCTGATTTTTATATGGCTCATAGAAAAAAGGTTACCAGCTTATAGCCCGTGAAAACCCTTTTAAAAATCACTATTCATAATTGTGTGTTGAACTGACGTGGAATCCACCAGGTATGTCATTGGCAATGTATTACCATATTTGCCTAAAAGGTGGCGCTAATAGGCTCTCCAAAATTTAAAAGGATCATCTTGCCCCAGGGGATCACCTTTCCCCTACTAGATAATTTTAATGGTAAAAGTGTGCACTTTAAGAATCTTTAAACCGATTTAAAAATTTGGATAAGGTGAAGAATTATTTTGAAAAAACCGAAAGTTAAAAAAATCCCTTGTATTTTACATGGGAAAAGTAGGCATTTACGGGAGAGGGTTAATCTAACTTAAAATCAATTTCTTTAGCGAATTTTTTCCATATTTTTGACCAAAGATTTGATGTAGAGGGGGCCCAAAAGCTATATTCAACTTGTTAAATAAGAGCCACCCTAGAGTACCAAAACGATTGAAATGATATCATTTTAATCTCGCAAAATGTAAATGCTTGCATTTACATTGGTTAAAAGTTTTAACGTTTTAAGTAAATTCAATTAATTAAATGAAAGTATTCACACTTTTTGAGATTAAAAGTATATAATTTTCAATCTTTCTATGTAAAGTTGGAGACCGATTTTGAACAGTATATGTGGACGTCCGTATGAAAAGGGACCACTCTGTCTGTTTTATATTCCGAAATAATCGCAATTTACTAATTTTGAAGTAAAGTATCAAATGTTTTTTAATTCTTTTTTCTTACAATTAATCTACAGGGTCTCACGCGTCGAATTATGCAGTTTTCATTATTTTTTTAATATTTTTAAGCAGGGACCGTCACGGAATCAAAACAAAATTAAAAAATACTTTTGTATTGATTCGAATATGGGTATCAGAATCAAAATTCCACTATATTTAGTTCTGATTCCAATATCAAAATTCCACTCTATTTCGTTTTGGTTCCAATATCAAAATCAAAATTCTTTTTTGTTTTAATTTTAATAAAATACTACTGCGCATGTATAAGTCTGATTGAACCTAAACTTTGTTGCAAATGTCAAATATATCAGAAGATAATATCGTTTTTACATACGAAATCTGAAGTAGAATTCGAATCGACTTCTGTTTCTATAAGAAAACTGAATTGCAGTATTACAGTATCAGAATCAAAATAGGAAGTAAATTTTGTTTCGTTACAGTATCAGAATCAAAATAGGAAGTGAATTTTGTTTCGTTACAGTATCGGAATCAAAATAGAAAGTAAATTTTGTTTCGTTACAGTATCAGAATCAAAATAGGAAGTAAATTTTGTTTCGTTTCGTTACCGAATCAAAATGAAAATACATTAATAACTTCGTTCTGTTTTGGAATATCGTAACGAAATCAAAATTTGATTTCCGTGACGGTCCCTGCTTTTAAGTATTTTATTTCGTTGTTAGAAAAAAATGAAAATGGACCACCAATAAAATAACCATTAACCGTAAAAAATTCGGTTTATTAATTAAAAAACGCATTTTTAGAAAAGGGACCACTTTGTCGGAAGACCGTTACTTTTTCATTGTTTCAAAATAGAGGGGGGAGGAATTTGAAACCACTTGCTTTTTCATCTTAAAGATGTACTAGACTTAAAACAACGCTTATCTGAATAACTTGCTAGAGAAACCAAAGATATTCGTATTAGAATCTTTGATTTCGTTTTTCTTGAAAGGAGATATTTGACATTCTAATCTTTAAAATTCTGTAACTCAGTAATTTTTCCACCAAATTGGATTTCTCAAAATTTTTCAAATAACAAGGAATTTGACCATATAGATATCTCCAATAGTGCCAAAGTGGTCCCTTTTCATGTAGACGTTCACATAAATATAAAAATATGTTACATAAGTTCCTGATTACACGTATCCCATTTGACACGCTCTTTAATTATTCTATATAATATGGGTTTATACACTGTATATAACAGTGTTACATAACGAATGATACAATACTGATATATAATAGTTTTACAACAGAAAAGTATCAGTAATTTTTAACTAAAAAGTAATTGATCAAAAAATAAGAATATGAAAAATGTGATTTTCATTGTTAAGCATTTTATTACAGACTTTACTAAGAAAATGTATCCATTTTGTTGCAGAAAATCTTCACTTGTATGCGTATTTTACGAATCATCACTAGTGAAAAAGTTATTGTTAGCTCTATAAATAATATCGGAGAAATACTCGGAGTAATACAAGTTTTTCTATTTTGCGGTATTGAAGATTATCCTCTTATAATTCCACAACAACTTCGTCCAGCTATTATGAACATGCCAATTAATACATGTGCTATTTCAAAAACAAAATCTACAAAAAATTCCAAAACAAGATTTAAAAAGCCTTTGCCTTCAACATTAGTAACAGATGTAAAAAATCAATCGACTCCTAATCCAAAATTTATGCCGAAATTTCCTAGTGACTCTGAAACTTCAGATACAGAATCATCTTGTAATACAATACAAATGGAATCAAAAATTCGATTGGAAACTGCACAATTACTTTACAATATTGTTTTAAATTACTCAAGTCGTGAATTATTTGGTTATTGGACTCAAATTGTTGCCAGTGGATCGCAAACTAATGCTCGAGTATTAACAAGACTTATTTTAAAAGATTCTTCATACAAAGTGAGACAAAGGTCATGGATAATAATGTCCGAACTTCTTAGGGGATCTAGAAATATTTTACAACATGCTGAAGATATAGAACATTCCTCGTTTATAACAGTATTCGCTCTTTTGAGTTCTGTGATAAAAGAACTACATTATACTGTATCATTATCTTTACATGTAGAGTCAAACGTTGCAGTGTTAATTCATGCACTTAAATGTGCATCGGCTTTAGTAGAAAGTACACCATATCATCGTTTAAAACCCGAACTTGCATTGGAGTTAATAAAAAATTGCAGAGTTCTTACAATTCACAAAGGTATTTAGATCAGTTTGTAATAATTAACTCCTTTACTTTCTAGAATTGTTACCATATAAGTTTGAGACGAAAATAGTTACTTACGATAAAAGTGCGTAAAGTGCACTATATATTTATATAGTGCTTATGGGTCATTCCACGCCCAGTCGGGAGTCATTTTGCTTTTGCATATCTCACATTTTTTTGAAACATTTTCTTTTAGTACTCTTTGAAATGAGCTATCTTGATTTTTTCAAATTTTTTCCTAAAGCGGTTCAGAAGATACAAATTTTTGAAAAATTACGTTTTTTACTTAATTTTTTTTTAAATGCTTATATCTTAGTCAAAAATTGGTCAAATTGGACATTCTTACACGGAGAAAAATGGAGTTTGAAAAACTGGGAGTCAATATTGAAAAAACAGGACTCAGTCCAGTAAAAGTACATTAATTCATTTCCATCAAGCATCTTAGGGTAATGCATATAGTGTATAGAAATCCTTAGTTCCCAATTTCACTGTAAAGAGCATTGAAACACAGGCGAAGATTAAAAGGGGCTCTGCAGTGTGCATAGTAGAGCAACTAGACTCAGTCCTCTACTTCGAAACTTTCACAATAAAGGAACGCAGGCGCGTAACCTGTCAAAATAAATGGCCGACGCGACGAGAAGCGAGTGTTTCCTTTTATTCTCTTCGTCAATTTTATATAAAAAGAAACAATAACCAATCATTAAAAAAAATGTTAAATGCACTCTTTATATATTCATATTCATTAATTCGCAAGTTTTATTCTTCCCACATTTTCATACTTACAATTAACAACTAAATGCATCGGAAAATCTTACAATCATACGGGATCGAACACCTACCTAACCATACAACTACACTGAAAAAAAAGTGCTGTTGAATCAAATATCTCCATGCTATTGAATTCCCCGTCATTGATTCAATGACACATTTATTAATCGAAAAGTATATTGCTTAAAACGAAAAAATGAAACTGTTTAAATTAAAAGTACGGTACTGTAGAATTAATGATATTGTGCAAATTGTTTCTATAGTTCATCTATATATAGCAACAGAATAATTTATTGCTTCTTTGACATTATTCATTTGAAGCATCTAATAGATAAATTTGAAGAAAATGCATGTAAATTTAAATCAAATGAAAAATTGTTTGCTCTAAAGAAGCGCGCTCTGAAAACGAAAGCATATGCTTTCGTTTCAATGAGTGGTGCTATTGCGGACTGCCTATAGCATATGCTATAAAAATAAGAACACTATGTTTTGAGACATTGACAGGTACTAAATTTATTGAAATACTTACCCACATATATTTATATGTTTATTAAACCTGTCATTTTTGAGATTCTAATATAAAAAAGTATTATTTAAATTCTTTTAATTAATTAATGACTAGTTAAATATAAATTCACTATATAAATTCCCTTATATACGCGAAAAATCTCGAGCACGGTATTTAACCACAAAGTAAGTGCCCAACGTTGAGAAGCGGATGTATTACATTGCAGCGCGGCGGTTCTCGTCTATCACGGAAGTTAAGCGTCGTTGGTCGCGGTTACTAAATGGATGGGTGACCGCTTGGGAATAGCCGTATTTTTCTGACTAAAAAAGATAAGTGTGTTTGAATGTGTATGTGTGTGTGTGTTTAGCCGTTGGAAAAAATGAAAATAATAATAAAGATGTGTATATGTTAGTGTGAAAAATTGAAAAAAAGATGTGTATAAAAAGTGTTATGTTAAAGGTGTGAGAATTAATTATAGTATATAAAAAACATGTGAACAAAAATTCCCTTTTTTCAATTTATCGTTAGTATATATTTAACCACATAAAAGAATTGAATTAACAGTATGGTGTTATTCAATCGATAGCAACAACTAAAAAAATTAAAAGTACAAATTTTTGAATCATAAAAATGATGCTTTTAAATTTAAAAGTTATAGTCATTGACTCAAAAGCATATACTGTTAAATTAAAAAATTTTGTTCATTGATTCAAAAGGAATACCTTCGAATTAACATAGTATGCTGTCAATTTGAGAAATATGCTTTTGTTTCAAAGAAAGTGATACTATCGAATCATTAGAATCGGTGCTTTCAAAACAACAGCATATACGTTAGGCAGCCCGTTATGACACTATTCAATGAATCAAACCCATATGTCATTGATTCAACAGCATTTTTTTCTCCGTGTAAATATACGCATAATTATAAATCGCACACTTTTACATTAAGCCTCTCGGCTACGCAATCGATGGGGGAAATTTCCTGTTTAAGAAACATCCCTTACCAATGAAATAAATTAGATTATGCGTGAATTTTACTTTGTAATTAATGTAAGTATTGATGTCAACAATATTCATAATATTGAATAAATAATATTGTCAACTAGTTTAACCCACTTAGTCCCAAATGTCCGTTTTTTTAGTACAAGTTCAAGCTCCCCGTTCTACGAGTTCCGGTTTTAAAAAAATCGGGACAAAGGTTATCTTATGGATTTGAGTGTCCTCTTTCAGAATCTGAAAAAAATTTCAATTTCGACTTCATGATAAAAAGTTATAATTGTTTAAACAAAAAAAAGCCGTTTTTTTAAGTGTTTTTTTTTTCTTTAAAAGCAGATTATTTAATTGAAATCGGCTTGGGAAAAATCGGGAACATCAAAATATCGCGTCCAAAATGTTGGGACTATCAAATAGACGTACTGCCAAAAACAATTTTTTTCAAATTTCAAAATGGCGCCTCAAAAATGGCCGCCAAAATATGCAAATTTCGAAAAAACATTTAAAAAAATTTTAACGCTACATTTTTTTTACTTTTATGCTTTATTTAACTAAAATAATGCTGCTTCAACAAAAAATATTGTTATTTGATGTTATTTAACAATATTATAAACAATTTTTATAAACAATTTGAAAACTGAGCCAAAGTGGAAGTAAAAAATTTATTTTCATCAATTCTCTTTTTTGGGGGAGGTAAAAATGGATATTGAAAGTAAGAAATTTAATTCAAAATTATTTTGCAATGTTTAAGAATGTTATAAACAATTTTTATAAACAATTTTGCAAAACATGAAATAGAGTGGTAGAAAATTTTTTTTTTAAATTTTATTATGCTCTCTGGTAATCAAAATGTTGCTTAAGGTTTAAACTTTCATTTAACATTATTTAGCAATATTTAAAAATGTTATAAACAATTTTTATAAACAATTTTCATAGAAAAAGAAGTTTAGAGTGAAAAGAAAATTTTTTTTCACTATTTACTTGGTTTGTCATTAGAATAGATATTTAAAAGACAAATCTTTGTCTGTAATTATTTAAGATTTTTTTAAAATGTTATAAACAATTTTTATAAACAATTTTTATAAAAAAAGATGTTCAGAGTGGACAAAAATCTTCTTTTCTTTACTACTAACTTTCTTTTGTCATTAAAAGTGGAAACTGAAGTATCTGACGTTTATAAAAAATTTGTAAACAATGTATAAAAATGTTGTAAACAATTCTTATAAACAATTTGCTAAATATGAAGTACCATCATGGAAAAAAAGCATTTTTTTATTATATAATACCTTCTTGTAATCAAATTCTTTGTTATAGATATAAACTTTTATTTAACATTATTTAGCAATTTTTAAAAATGTTATAAACAATTTTTATAAACAATTTTAAAAATTGTTTATAAATTTTGGATAAACGGTTGAAACATCAGTTTCCATTTTAATGTTAGAATAAGTTAGTGGTAAAGAAAAAATTTGTTTTTTCTCTGAACATCTTTTTTTATAAAAATTGTTTATAAAAATTGTTTATAACATTGTAAAAAAATCTTAAATAATTGCAGACAAAGATTTGTCTATAACATATCTATTCTAATGACAAACTTAAACAAATAATGAAAATAAAAATTTTTTCCCACCCTGAACTGATTTTTTTATGAAAATTGTTTATAAAAATTGTTAATAACATTTTTAAAAATTGCTAAATAATGTTAAATGAAAGTTTATATCTATAACAAAGAATTTGATTACAAGAAGGTATTATATAATAAAAAAATGCTTTTTTTCCATGATGGTACTTCATATTTAGCAAATTGTTTATAAGAATTGTTTACAACATTTTTATACATTGTTTACAAATTTTTTATAAACGTTCGATACTTCAGTTTCCACTTTTAATGACAAAAGAAAGCTAGTAGTGAAGAAAAGAAGATTTTTGTTCACTCTGAACATCTTTTTTTATAAAAATTGTTTATAAAAATTGTTTATAACTTTGTAAAAAAATCTTAAATAATTACAGACAAAGATTTGTCTTTTAAATATCTATTCTAATGACAAACCAAGTAAATAGTGAAAAAAAATTTCTTTTCACTCTAAACTTCTTTTTCTATGAAAATTGTTTATAAAAATTGTTTATAACATTTTTAAATATTACTAAATAATGTTAAATGAAAGTTTAAACCTTAAGCAACATTTTGATTACCAGAGAGCATAATAAAATTTAAAAAAAAAATTTTCTACCACTCTATTTCATGTTTTGCAAAATTGTTTATAAAAATTGTTTATAACATTCTTAAACATTGCAAAATAATTTTGAATTAAATTTCTTACTTTCAATATCCATTTTTACCTCCCCAAAAAAGAGAATTGATGAAAATAAATTTTTTACTTCCACTTTGGCTCATAGTTTTCAAATTGTTTATAAAAATTGTTTATAATATTGTTAATGTTACGGAGTAACAAAATTTAATGTTAAAAATAAATGTATTTTAAAATTATTTTAATTTTGTCTCAGACTCACTAAGAAGGTGAAAAACTATTTCTAAAGCAAAAATACATCAATGTCAGGTAGTGAGAAAGTTTAGGTTTTACCATTTTTTCTGTCAAGACATTACTACATCTGTTTTCTATTGTATTTAGGCTTACCTTGCAATAAAGTGACAACCGACATGTGTACCTCTACCTATCAAGGGTTTATATTGTTTTTTATGACGGTAACTCTGGCCGCCCGCTTG